CACTGAGCCACCGAGGCTCAAATAGTTCAGATTGAAGGTAAATGTGAAGCATAAAAGTTAGCACAGCCTCAGACTGCCAAAATTAATATCACTCTGCTATGTGACTAAAAATGAGGTTCAGAATTTCATTTGCTGGAGGACATGCAAAATCAAACTGGATAAGCCAAGATTTTAGTATTTGTGATTTATTCTGCCAATAATTATAATAAGTACCACCTTTGGACATTCTGAGCAACATTAGTCATGAATCTTTAGTTTTGCTCTTCTGCAGCCATGTGGCAGGAATTCAGAAGGGTGGAGTCCCCTTCCCTCTGGAAGTATCTGATAAAATTCTACCCATTCCCTCCTCCAGATGCTTTTTCCTTTTCCACAAGGCCCTAGACGGGATATGGGTGTGGGCTTTACACTCATGAATGACACAAAGAAAAGACTGAGGACAATGTGAGAAGAGAAGTTGACAACTTAAAATATTACAACACCTGGTTAAGCCAACTTCTTGCTCATCGATTCTACCCAAATGCAATAGCTAAAGTGCCTGCAACATCAATGTTTTTTTTTTAATGGATTGTATATGATACGAACATCTGAGTTTTGTCATTTTTCCAACTTCAGAAACCAATTTTAAAAACCTCACACCACAATTGATCATATAATTTTAGGATATTATTGCTTAATATTCTATTTTAGTTCAGCTCAAGTAATTTGATTTTAAAATGTCATTAAGATTTGAATTAAACTAGATATAATTCCTATTATAATGGTATAGCCTTTTCCAAGTTTTTACACCAATGCAGGTTGTATATACTGGAAACAAAATGAACATAAAAGTGCTAAAATTAAATTTAACATTGCTATAGTATAATCTCTGGAGATTTCAGATTATTCCCATTCTATTAGTCCACTTGAAAACTTTGTGAAATACCTTTTTATTTGTAATTTATGTTAAGTATTATTTTTGAGGCCCAAGATAATCTCATAAGAATATCACAACTCCCAATAAATAATCACCTTCAATAATATCATTTTCCAAATAATTTAATTAACAATACTTGCTCTTAGTGCAATATTTTCATTCCCCAAACATAATAATTGGCACTGTCAATTTGTACTATGAAGTTCAGTTGAATCTTCAAAAACTAGTGTTTTTGTCTGTGATACTATTTTACAACATTCTATGCTCACAGTTTTCTTTTCTTTTCTTTTTTGTTACCATTATTACCATGTAAGAAGATTTGTTTGTTATATTAAAATACTTATTGAATGCAATATTTGGCAAATGTATTAATTTCTAGGTAGTGATTATATAGATTATAGGCACTTTTAGTTCCATGGCAAAAATAAAAGATAATACATTGGATGCATATGTTTGGTTTCCTCCTTTAGATTTTTACAATGCAAATGGAAAAAAATAGAAAGTTAACATATCATATGTGAAGTAACTATTAAAGAAATATACATATATCAATTTGATCTTTTAGCAATATGTTATATACAGCATCACAGTTTGCAATAACAGCTTCAATTGCTTTCACAGTATATGCACTCTTGATGAAAAGGGAGGCTATGTACTCATATAGATGTGATTCTCAGCAATGTACTTCGCCAGTGTGAAGTGATAATCTTAATTTTTTACAGTAGTAGTCTCCTAGATCTTTGTAGATACAAAGCAAAGTATCATTTGATGACTTGATAAAAAAGCAAGGGAGCAGGAGAAACAAATGACTAAATAAATCCCAAGATATAAGTCATCTACTTTCTATGAAGAAACATTTAAAAATTATCAAGGTTTTTCTGTTTGCTGTGGAAAACAAGGTAAAAGAAAAATATGCAATAATAAATATCTGTCTTGTTAGATGATCAAAACAAGCAAATAAATAAAGAATAATTTTTTATTAAATATTTTGGGGAACAGTTCCCAGTGCAAAATGTAGAAGTGCACAATTCTCTTCTGTCCTTTAGATTTAACCCAGCAAATTGTCAGTGTGACCATGGTCAAGAAAATTGAGTCTGAAAGCTGATAAGGGAAAGTTGAAGTGAAACATTAAATGGGACTGTTGTACAAATAAATGTTTATCTTTTCAGCCACATGTAAATTAAATCATGTTTCCTATCTAAAGTTGCTTCAGCAGGTCAGGTCTCTTTAACTGTTTAGCTGTTTAACTCTTCTTGATTATGGATTCTGTAAGATTATCAAAATAAAATATGTTCCCACATTCCAGGTGCTATCTGTTATTTGTATATCTGTGTCTTTAAATCATCCAGGTTTTTTCAGTATGAATAGACATTTATTTAAAAAAGAAAAAGAAAAGATGGATACAACCAAATATTTCTGAGAAATTACCCTCTGGATTTTTCCTTTTGCTTAGAGATCGTTCTTTCCTGCTTTTTCTTAAGAAATAAGGATCTTAAGCTTGTAGTAAACTCCAAGCAATAGTACCATGACAATTTAAATGAAGTCTTCTAGACAATTACTTATTTTGCTTTTTGCCACATTCTTGGAATGCATTGATGAGATTTGGTTTACTCCAAACTCTAGTAAAGTACTGAATTTACTGTGACAGAGAGAGAAAGAGAGAGGGGGGGAGGGAGGGAGGGAGAGAGAGAATAGTATTATAAAGATAGTGGGAAATAATTCAAGAATCCACAAGTGCACAATAATCTCCTTAAAATGATTGCCAAGTATAAACAAATTCCAAAACCAAAACTCATCATGCATCTCTGAAATGGTAAACAGTCACTGCCACTTTTTGAAAGCCTTTCCTCTCTTGGACTCAAGTCAATGCTCAGTTACACATAGCCAATGACCTTGGATACATTTTTCAAGATGCATCCCAATCTTTTAGTAGAACATGAATAAAAATTATGAGACAGATTAAAATATACATCCATATAGTCATTTTCCTGCATATTGGCTCCATATTTGCAAAACCAATTCCATGTTTTTCTAATTTCTGGTTAAGGCCCTCTCTATGGATTGAAACTTGGACTTAGACAGCTGGGAAGTTGCTCTTCCAGTAATATGAGAACTTTCAAAACTGCTAATAAAGTACTTGAAGATACTGCTTAGAATAAAGAAATAGAATCACACACAGACACACGCACAGAGACCATGATTACCGTGATTATCTAAGAGTTAATTATGAGGCAGTTTTCATATGTGATACTAAAAAAGCATTCAAGCTATTATTTGAATGTCACATTCAGGTTTCCCATTCTTCGCAAACATGATCAGGTTTTTACAGTTTCAAATCAGGGCACAAAGTTGGATGGCTCAAAATAATACAGTCTACTTGTTCCAAGGTTATTTACAGACCAGATATTGTCCTTACCATCCCCAATATGTTATGAATATTGACTAAGAGGCTAATTATCTGCACCCACTAACATAGCAATGCACAGCTGGAATTTTTTTTATAAAGAATTTCATTTATACAGTATGTCTACCACTGCAGGATGAGTTTGTAAATTCTTTATATGATAGATAACATCTACCAATATATATAGAGTGCATTTTATCATATCTAATAATAGGCACTTGTCTCCAGATGGTTGGTTATTAGGGAATGTGGACAATGTGCAGGTTCCCAGCAGGTGTCTAATACATATTTCTAGGCATTTGGAGAAGCAAACAGAATCAAACATGTCAACTGAGAGCAATTGAGGATCCTTTGGGGAGTGCTTCTCAGTACAATGGATATAAAACATTCAGAAAAAGAATTGTATACCATTTAATAGGATGTAGCATCTAATGATATGCTAAAAGAAAAATAAAATAAGTTGACTACTTTTCTTTTTGGACAGAACATTTCAGTTGGTCTATGAACCAATCAGTTGTGGGCCATTTTTATCTAACTAAGAGTAGTTATGTGATTATCATCATGACAACATGTTCACTTGCAGATGAGCTTTATTAACTATAAAAACAAACTAAAAAAGACAATGCAATGGCACATCACCAACTTCCCATTGCTCAGAATGGAAGAACTTTTTGAATGGCAAAATTGTAAAATGCAGTATTAACTAGTGAATATATTCATCTGATAAACTCTGTTTTTCTGTTTGCTACTTTTGCTACTTAGTATTGTATTAGTATTGGTTTTGATTGTATTAATGCATGCTTTTCACTAAAAATATTTATTTAAAGAGTCTGGATATTTGCAGTACATGACATGTTCAAATAAAAAAAAAAACATTTTCTAGTCTCACTGCAGACACAAAACCAACTAAGTATCTTGGGCCACTCATTCTTAGCTAATAAAAGTTTGCCACTAAAACTTCAGGGACTTGTCCAGGTGGCCATCAGGAAGAACACTGACTGAAAGCCTTGTGTACACAAGGGTGCACACGAACACACACACACACACACCAAATTTTTTTATCCTGCTGTATTTTTAAGCATTTACAGAAAGATAATGTATTTGCAATGGAATTGACAACTGTTTTTGAAACTAAACATTGGACAGTAAGGAAGTATACATTTTAAAGAGCAAGCTTAAATGAATACACTCCTCTAAGATATTAAAACAATACACTATATAGCATAGACATTTGAGGATTACAAGCGAAGAATTTTTTTAAAAACTTTTTAACAGTATTTTGGTTTTTAGTTAGGTACTTTGGGTTAAGAATAAATGATAAAAATGATAAAATACATACTAGGATAACTAAGCATTCTTGATGACATGTGGAAAAGATCATACAGTTGCAAAGCAATGAACACCTGCATCTATTGTCTGTATGCTTTGGTATAGCATTTCCTCACAAATGGAAGCTACGCATCTGTAATGATTTCTGTCTATAAATCACCAATTTGGAAGATTCCATACTGCAATCTTTTGCTACTTTTGTCTGCCATTTGAACCTCAAAGGGACTGACATTACATTAAAAGTACATACTTCTAATAATATTTCATAAACTATGGCAAACAGACTCATAATTTCATTCTTTCACTTTTGTGCATAAGAGTTTCAGAGGTTGTACTTTCTTTTCAAATACTCACCCAACAGGCACAAAACATAGAAGATTGCCCAGAGGAGTTGCCTCTCTTTCAGGATCATAAAACTCCACACTAGCATCATTCCCAGTACAGAAGCAGTGTCTAGGACTAACAACTGAATGATTCTCAGAGCTCCCCTCAGATTTAGTTTCTCTGATGTGTTCTGAAGGCTTCAGTGTTTCTTCCTATTAACTAAAGCTTTTTGAGGTCAGTTCATTGTAGGATAGGATTCCCTCCTAAAAGATGTGCTTGTGGCTCAAGATTGTGAGGTGGAGTTTTGTGAAGTCTGATCTCATAGCTTTATATAGTTCAGAAGAGTCTGTCAACATCATTGTTAAACTTCCCCTCACCCTACAATAGCACATCAGTTAACACTTTCCTGGAAACTCCTTGCTTTTATTATGGACAGAACATAAGCTTTAAAACCACATTTCTTCTACAGAAATAATTTTGATTAGTGGCAATATTGAAACAAAAACAAATCAACAACTAACTGCTGAAAGGCAGTTAATTTAAAATTGATCAGCTTCAAGCCAATCCAGGAGAGAACTTTAGCTAGAAATTGAAGGATTTGAGAACAAAATGTTATAAAGTGAGTGGAGGGAGCCTTACTGGGGCAGGTATCTTACTGAACAGAAGATTCTTAAAAATCTTCATAAACTATATTAAATGTGAGAAAGGGCACTTAAAACATTTAACTAACTATTTTCTGAAAACCTCTGGCATAGTAATTTGCATGTAGTTTTTTTTAAAGTTTCTTAATGCTATGCACAAAGTATATTTAGATAATGATTACATTTTTACTGGACTATTGGCATGCATTGATCTAGGAAATGTGCTATCAATTGGGCACTAAAGTCCTGTATTATCTGTTGCAAGGGCAGACAGTGAGGCTCACATTCAGAATTTCCACATCATATTGGCATTCTCACAAAACTATGATCTTAGGGAGTCTTGCTTGTTCATAAAATCTTACCATGGCAGGCAAGAGCAGTCTTTTATCAGACATTCCCTATCATTTTCTACAATTCTGCAGGATAGAATCCTTCCAGCTATCACATTTTTAAATATATATTTCATTCCCTTATTCCTACTGCTACAGGATTTCATCAGTGGTCTGATATCTATTTTTGTGCATCTTACAGTGAAATTAATATAGTAGCGGAGTGAAATGGGAACAGACCAATCTGCATAAGGAGGCTGGGCCAGTTAGCCATAATAGTGGCTATTTCTGCTTTTTTCTATTTATTGAGAGTCACATTAAGGAATCACTGTTTTGATACTATTTCCATTGAATGTTAGATCAGGCTCCAATACACCCACACAAAGAAGACATCTTATAATAGATCAACTGGTTGTCTGATGGATGGCCTCTCTCAAAAGAGAATGTTCAACCTCTTTTTCGGTGGATTTTGTTACCAAAGTGATGCCCAGTTATGCTTTTCTTTTCTTGCAAGTCAGAATTACACATTTTAAAAGCAAGCTTGATCTGAATTTTGGACAGGACAGAATTCAAAATTTGAATGATATGCCAGGTCTAGATGGGATTCCATTATTTCTTGAGGAACTGAGGCCCAATCTGGGAAGGGAGAGGGTCACAATAAATATATTTTTGTAAACTGGGCCAAACACAGACAAGACTTACAACAAGTTACATATACTACAATAAGCAGTTTTATGTTCCTTGAATTCTTTTATATATTCGCCCAACCACAACATGTTCAAAATATACAACGTACTCCCTTTTCTTTTCTCCTTGCTTTTAAACTCCAATTGAGCCTTATTCTCAGCAGTAAATACTTAAGCAGTGACTATAACAAAATACATAGTTTCTGAGTTTGTTTCGACTCCAGAAAGTTTTGAAAATGAATATTATTGAAAGGGGATGTAGTGTACAAATGTTGCAGTGTTCCATAGTCTTTTAATTGATATTGAAGAAGAACCGAAGAATAAAAAATGATAATATTTCAAGAAACTATGCCAACAAATCAGCTATCACATTTTAAAACTTTTTTTTAAATTATAGCCATGTTTTTCTTAAGAGGAAGTTACAGATGGGCAAGAATAAAAAGAATAAAAAGATTACAGATGATAGATAGAAGATAGATAGATAGACAGGCAGGCAGATAGATGCATTTTTATTAAACAAAAGTTCTACCAAAATCTCACCTGCTTGAATAAAATTTAGGTACTATATGATAAAATGGCTGATTTTTGAAAATTGTAATGGTCAGCTGCACACACCTTCCTTACATTGAGAACATATTTTGCAAAAATAAAATTCTTTTACTAATTATTTATATCTGAAATATATACTTCCTTATTTCAGAGATAAGGAAAGAATTTGGAGGTATTTTTCTTCCTTCTTAATGGGAGTTCAACATAGAAATAACATTTTGAAACTTGTAAAAAGGATTGGACAGGTCACCTTTACACAATTGCTGTATGTGACCCTGCTGGTTGCTTTCTCCTTAGCCATGACCCCTGCACATCAATGTGATCTTGTACAGCTCCAGAACAAGTCTGGGACAGTTCACTGCTAGTCAAGGTTCAGGCTAAGAGGCCAGCTGTGGGCCAGCTAATCTGGAGGTGAAGGTTAAGCAAAGATAAGAACTAGTTGTTGCTATTGGAACTTATGGCTTGATCTAATTCAGATAACACCCCTGGATAAAAACCATTCAACTAGGCAAAAGCCACTGGATTTAAAAGGTAGATAAATTTAAAAAGTCAAAGCTGGAATGTCCCTGTAGAAATGACTAAAGAGGGTCATTGCTCATTCATTTTTTACTGGGGAAAAAAGTTTGACATGCTGACATTTTGAGGGTACCTCCAATGTTAATACCTTGCAAGGCAGTGAAATGCAATGCAATGACAAGTTAATGATGAACTTTTTATGGAAGGAAAATATAGCTAGGATTTTTCTTTTAAAGCTGTGGATGCCATATGTGAAGATGCTTTCAATTTTCTGGACTTTAAAACATGTTTGACATGAAAAAGATATTGATTTTCTGCACGCTTTATTAGAGAATATTATTTGGTGCTACAAAGTCAAGTTTTTCATTCTTGCTATAGCAGGAAATGAAAAGTGTTAGGCACACTGGGTTCTATTGGATAGAAAATTAAATTTGACTCCAGCTATCATGAAAAATTAATGCACTGGAGTAATCCTATTTTAAATGGTTGGAAAACTTTTCTTTTAAAATCTGGGTAGAAAATGGGATTAATGCTTTCAATCAAGTAGTGTATAATGACAACTTTACAATGTTTGAAGGATTATAAAAGGAATACTGTATAACATGCATAAAACAGTCAAAATACAATTTATGTATCTCTTAGTTTTATTGTTTGGCTCTGATACTATATTGGCTTCTAACATTTCTTAAGCATTCTGTATGAGAATACCTTTTCAAAGAACAAACCAACATTGTCCTGCAAGAATTAAAACTCTACATCAAGAAATGTAGACAAGAAATGTACAAGATATATGGAATAGTGAGTTGGAATAACTTATGTTGCAAATCAATTGCATCAGGTTTGTTTTTTTTAGAAAAGTATTTTTTAGATAATTTCAAAATTAATTTCATACAGGAAAAAATACTATACTGGATTCAAAATGTTGGTTCATTGATTTAATTAATTAATTTTAATTTATCAACTTTCAGCTTTTGAAATAGATTAGTTGTGAGGCAAAATTAGACAATATTGTATGAGTTTATTTCAGTAATAAAAATTGAATAGTAATGATGTTTATATACAAATATATAATTAAATTTTTATAATGAAGAATATAATGAAATATTGGATACTTGTTTAAAAAATATTATTTTTTTCATTCTTTCCCCACATCCCCTTTTAGTTAATATTGCTTACAGAAATTTATTTATACAGTTATAGTTTATATATGATTGTTCTTATGTGTTATCAGCTGTAGAGCTGATTTTTCATCAGAATAAAGGAGTAACTGCCTATTTATTGCCCACTGCCTATGGGTTACTTCCTGTACCAATTGATAGGATTGAAACATATTTCCTTCCAGGATATATTATCTTAAGTGATAATATTTTTTGAGAAACATGTACAAACCAAGAACTAATACCAATAGATTTGCATATGTTCTGTTGATGTTTTAGTAATGTAACATGTTCACAATTGAGCTGAAAATATTTTTCAGATGCCATCATAAGTAAGCTATATATTTTTGATATTTTTCTAATGATTCATTCCTGATTTTTATTTTGTATATACTTAGAATTTTAACATTTTTACTGGATGACATCACAGAGTAATAAAAATTCCCAATAACAACCTCATTCCCTATGCCAGCTGGAAAATGCTGATCGCATTTGTGATATCAAACTGAGGTGAAGAGAAAACTTGCCACAATAACCAATTGACTCTACTGAAATGGAATTTTAAAAAAAGACTGTGGTGCTTCAAGTTACTATCTAATCAAAGACATCCAATTCATAAAGAATGTAATTCCAGACAAAGTATAGAGAACAAAGTCATCTGATAAAGTTCCTGTGAAAAAAATATCACATCCTATTCCAGCCTTTTATCAAGTTATGCTGTGATGCATATTTGGGCGTCCTGAATGTACATGTGAGGATTAGTCAGTCTCTGGGAAGAAAGGAATGTACATACATATTGACTGCTTTAGTGAATAGGACTTCTGGTTATCGGAAGACAGCAGTATCAGAGTAATGAAGAAACTAACCAGAATTTAATAAAGCAAAATACTTGTTAATGTCTGAACCTATGGTTCTAGCAAACATCAATTCAGAATCTGAAATCAAGGTTTGTAATTGATTTTCCACTAGTCCTTTGTTAAAAAACAACAAGGAATGTTTTGGTTTCCTCTTTGATTTCTGATGAATTTAATCTCTTGTAGAAGGTAGAGGACACAAATATGGATTGTTTGACATTAGGCATGAACTGCACTTAAATATCCAGTTATGCTATTTCCCTGTTATATACTGACATATTTTCCTGTTATGTACTGACATAGTCAATGGTTTAAATAAAGCTTAAAGTGTATAAATGTTTTGAATATATGTTTATTTATTAAATTTCTATGCCACTGCAATAATGAAACTCTATTATTTCAAGTGTAAAAAACCCTATTTCTAATAATTAAAAATATTTCATAGATAGCTTGCACTTTAGCATAAGACTGGAAATTACCTTGCCAAGAGAAATATCTGTTCCTAAAATAGTTTATTCCATGGTTTTGGGGTTTTTGTTTTAGTTATATGTACTATTTTA